AAAAGACCTGGAAAAGTAGGGCCCGAGGTCTTTCTTAACAAACATAAAATATCCCTCCGCGCTGATTTTTTTTTTGAAACCCCAAAGACGTAGGATTGATCAAGTCAACCAAATGTTTTTCCAAAATGAGATTTAGAGATCTCCCAAACTCCCCGAAAGAGAAAAAAAAAACTCGGAGAATACCACCACTAGTACTCCCTACCAAAATGGGTATCCCGGACGCGTTGGTGCAGTCCAATTTGTCGTCGGAGGTCATCCGGAAAAGTTAGCATTTTCACCCGTCCTTTGGGCTTAATTGAAGTCCGATTTCGTGCAATTTCGTGAACTTTGTGTATTTGATGTGTGTATATGACGAAAAAAGTCGTGACGATATTTTCCTAAGGCTTGAAGTCCTATCAGTAACTTTTCCCTTGAGTCTTCGCAAAATAACCCATAAACACTCGTTTATAAGACGATGGTCTTGTGCCAAAGATGCTAGACATCAAAGGAAAATAGGAATTTACTAGAATTTTCTAAAAGGGTGAGTCTCAATTCTAGTTTTCTAGGACGGTCAATAGGAACTCCTAGAACTAGATCCTAGGCTCTAAGGAGGAGAAAAGAAGACCTCACAAAAATGAGGTCAACAGGCACAGGAGGAAAATAAGCCCTAGCCAACGCCGAACGGAACCCCTCCCCCGCGTTCTATGGATAGAATAATATCGAATACGCGATTAACGCCGATATAAAAACGCACCCAATAACGCCAAAACAAACGCTGCGTAACGCCAAAACAAACGCTGCGGCGGCGATATCAAAACGCCCCCGCAGCAAAATAAGCCGCCTCAAACGGGGCCTTAATATCAAAGTTTTTCTTTTTTTTTTAAATGCATCATGTTGATAGCAACTTACTATTGGACCACCCTGTAGTAAGTTTGCACTGGTTTGTTCCTTCCTTCGTCCGTATTTAAAAAGTTTTATTAGAAGCCTATTATCGCGTGTTGTCAAAGCACTTTTCATTAATATGTTATAAAAAGGATGCCCGTAAACAAAACCCCTTACCAAGCATTTGTTATATATAAAAAGAAATTTCATGTTGGCCTAGGTCATGGAATTCTCTTAATGAGGTCATAAATTTGGCCTACTTGCCCAACTTGTTTAAAATTATTAATGTATGTTTACAATTGGGTCGATATGTCTCTAATTGCACATAAAGGTCACGGGATCAAAAGAAGGAATAATTCTCTTAGCATTGCAAAGAAAAGAACTTGATGTCAAACCGCACCCAAGAACCCACACTAGTGGAAAGGCTCATATATTCGGTGCCCCTATTTATGTACACTTTAAATCATATACCATTATTGTTTTTTTTTTTGTTATCAAATACAAATTAATTGGGAATTTTTCAAGAAGGGATATGAACCTAAGATTTTAAAGCATAAGAAGCCTGATAAAATGAAAAGGATGGCATGTAACTCCAACAACACCATTTAAAGGATGAGTTTGTTCTTGTTAAAAGGAGGTAGCTCACCTGATTCCCACTCTAGCCTCATGTTACCTCCTAACAGCATTCAGCTCACACCGAGCACGATTCGCCAGATATCCTCACACGAGCATTTCCCGCCATTAACATTGTAGCACAAGGCCGCTCCCTCCCGCGAGAACATCTCTATATAAAGCCATGTATGTCGCAAGGTTAGGGCAAGTAAGGAAGAGGGGGTACAGTGGAGAAGGTCGCGAAGTTTAAAAGGAGAAATGTACTTATCTTAGAGGCGCCAGTCTCAATTAAAGCTTTAATAAAGTCTTTTTCTACTCATGTAACCCTCTTTCCTCTTAAATTTGTGATACAACCAAGACTTTTGTAGACATGATTTTTCAAGCTAACAGTTAGATAAAACAATAGTATGGTATAGATCCATCACAAAGCAAACTATAACTCTTGAATTGCATCACATAAAGAACTTAAATGAATATTTCTACAAAGAAACAGCTCTCAAGACGTTTTAAGTTGAACTTTCTACAATTTCATGCTCTCAGATGCTGCCAGAATTTGCTGTTCATTCACATGTTGTTTCTGTTTTAATCGTTATAGTGTGTTGTTAGAGTGTGCATATATAGAATGACTATGCCCCATCCAGGCAAATAGATGCATGCTTAACTTTTTACGTCCATGTAAAATGAATTGTTTCATTTTCACTAAAAGCAAACATAGTAACTTCTTACTTCATTTTCTGTCATTATAATTAATCATGCTGTAGATACTAGTCTTTCACTTGGAGATAAAATGTGAAACAAATATATTCGTGAAATAGTTGGTGTAGCTCCAACTGCAGAAAAGATTAGAGAGAGTCGTCTTAGATGGTTTGATCACATTAAGCGTAGACCATCTAATGATGAGAGTAGATGTTTTACATTCAACTTATGTTAAGAAGGGTAAGAGTAAACCAAGAAAAACTTGGGCATGTTGTATTAAAAAAGATCTTAATTTATTAGAATTAAATGAAAATATGACTCAATAGGATACAATGGAGAAAAGGATTCATGTAGCTGGCCCACTTAGAGAGATAAAGGCTTGTTGTTGTTGTTGTTGTTATCGTCGTCGTCGTAGATACTAGTCTTTCAATAAAAAAGCCATTTCCAAATCATAATAAAGAATATCTGACATACAAGTTAATATGGCCCTGTTGTCAGAGAAGCCTTCAAGTAATTTTAGCATTCAACCATAGCAGAGTAAACAACACAAACAACTAATGCATGGAAAATTAAATAGGAAACGTCATGGACTGCGCTATGCCCTATGTGAGATTCAACTATAAGGACTGCTAAAGTATTGAGCAAAAGTTCTTTTCAGTTTGTTGTTACTGCCCATATTGTTCGAGTTAGTGTCTCCTTGATAAAGAGATCTACCGTTCTCATATTTTTTCTTCAATTTCATAAATTTAAGACCTAAAAATCAGAAGAAAAAATGTCCCAATAAAATTTAATTTTCTTGATTCTTTTCCAAGCGTGACAATGAAAATGAATATTAATAATCATAATAATAGTTCATAGCTCACAGAATGCAAGAACCAATAATATAGCAAGTACAGGAGAGAGAGAGATAGCTAGAGAATACCAATCATACCAAGTTAAAGCATGTTATTTCTAAACCTTCAGTTGGCAAGCCATCAATCTCTTGACCATCATCTGCAAATTAAAAAATTACAAACTCATATGATTAGATATACTAGATATCCAAGTTAACCCCATATGATCACAACCAACCCTTTTCATACCTACTACATACAAGTTCGTATAATTTAAATTTATAATTAGATAAAAGGCATTTCAAGGTGGACAAAATACACACAAAAATGCACACCAACAGTTTGGCAACTACACAAAAAATCTATATAGGGCCTTGGCAAGTTTCTAATAATACTAAACAATTATGTTAACTTAGAGCTATCAAGAAGGCAGGGCGAGCCAAAAAAGTAAGCCAGCCCTTTAGAAGCCCCAATGCATTTTCCATAACACATATGGGCTTAAATAGGTTGTTCATCTATCATTTAAAAGCCGAGAACAGAAGTATTTGAACATTTTGTAAATTGAAATTAAAACAACTCTGAATTGAGGTTTGAGACCAGGATCAATTATTGACAAAATAAAACCCCTAATCAATAAAAAGAAAAATCAATCTTCCATATTTTAGTAGCTTCTTATGATCAGACACATCTCATAGTAGCTTCTTATTATAAAACACATCTCAGGCTAGTTCTCGAGTAGGATTCATTCATCAATAAAGGTCTTCTTTAGTAATAAAATTTTGGCACATGTAAAACATACCACAAATTTCGCATCTCTCGGAATTCGACTGAACTAATTTTATAAAATTCTACAGTTCAAATCGATAATTTGATATTAGCACAATGCTTAAATGTATGGGGAGATATAAATTGTTACAATAAAAAGATTAATTAATCATAATTAATCCCTTAATTAAATTTCATAATCCCCATTAATGTTCATAACCGACTTCTCCACATTTTTCTTGGCATGCAGCGGTAGATGTGATCGAATAGTAGGGGTTTATTGAAATCCAAGTTAAATGCCACAATCCCCACTTACCCTCTCCTAATTTTTCCCTCATGCAAGAATTGCTGCTCGGTTCCTGTAACACATGCGACCTAAGCAATCGACAGAAGGCCACACATGGCATTTCAGAGCTCAAAGAGGAATCTGTGAGTAGGAAACCTTGTTTTACAATATTTGAGATATGTCTTTCGTTTCAAACATTTTTCATTTTCACATTTTCCACAAATTCAAGCATTCCACATGTTCCCTGTTGATGTAGTTCTACGGGAACAGCCACAGGACTGTCGAACTGAAAGCCACAAGACTGTCGAACTGTTGATGTAGTTCTACGCTCTCTGGTAAGTCCATTTCATGAGTTGGGGAAGGGTTGGGGGGAAAGGAAGACGTGGGAACGAAATAGGAAGGTATTGGAGTGGTATATTTATGTTTAAAAACACTTTTAAGTCAGCAACACCGACAACAACAACAACAAAGCCTTAATCCCACTACATGGGGTCGGCTACATGAATCTTCTTTCTCCATTGCGTTCTATTTAGTGTCATAATTTCACTTAGTTCTAGTAAATTAAGATCAATTTTTATACAATAAGCCCAAGTTTTCCTAGGGCTACCTCTGCCTTTCTTTACACATGTCGAACCTAAAAGAGCTACTCTCTCACTCATCCACCTAATCATTCTCATCTCGGCAACAATGCTTCTCTTTTTATGCTTCTCTTTTAAAGGCCAACCATTATGCTTCTCTTTTAAAGACCAACATTCTGCGCCATAGAGCTTTGTAGGTCTCACCACCATCTTTTAATTTTTTTCTTTCTGTCTAAGAGATACTTTTCTATCACACAATAAGCCCGAAATAGTCCTCCACTTCAACCAACCAACTTGAATTTTGCTAATAACATTCCCATCTATATCACCACAATATACTTGAGATACCTAAAATGTTCACACCTTTTAATAATTTTATCACCCATAAATACAATTCTGCCACTAGAGCTACTACTACTAAAATTACATTCCATCCATTTAGTTTTTGATCTTCTCAAGCGAAGGTTTTTAGACTCCAATGTAGACCTCCATAATTCAAGTTTTCCCGAACTCTTTCTCTAGTCTTATCTATAAGAAAGATATCATCAGCTAAAAGCACACACCAAGGTACATTATCTTGTAAATGTCCATTAAAAGCTTCTATAACTAAAGCAAAAAGATATGGGATTAAAGCTGATCTCTGATGTAATCCAATTGAAAAAGGAATACTTGGTCAGTCCTCCTGCTCAAACACAAGTAACAACTCTAGTACACATTATCTTTGATGACTTGAATACATGTTATATCAACACATTTCTTCTCTAGAAATCTCCAAAGGATGTCTCTTAGAACCTTATCGTAAGCTTTTTCTAGAAAAATCAAATGTAGATTCTCCTTATTATCTCTGAACTTCTCCATAAAACCTCTCAATAAATGTATAGCTTCCATGGTAGACCTGCCCGGCATAAATCCAAATTGAATATAAGAAATCTTTGTAATGCGTCTTAACCTATGTTCAATTACCCTCTCCCATAATTTTAAAGTATGGCGCATCAACTTAATTCCTCTATAAATTGCACACTCTTGTGCATCCCCTTTACTCTTAAAAATGGGGACTAAAATACTCTTCCTCCCTTCCTAAAACATTTTTTTAGTTTTTAAAATAATTTAGTTTTTAAAATAACATTAAAAAGTTTAGTAAGCCAAGAAACTCTCAAATCTCTTAAATATTTTCACAGTTCAATTTAAATATCATCAGGTCCTACAGACTTTCCACCCTTGGTTTTCTTTAAAGCCTTCTCAACTTCTTTTTTACTAAAACGACGATAAAAATGAAACGTTTTATTATTATTCACGATATTAAGATCACTAAGGTCAATCGTATTTTCCGAAATTTCATTAAAAAGTTTATCAAAATAACTCACCCATCTATGTTGAATATCTTTCTACGAAAAGTACATTTTGATTTTCATCTTTAATACACTTTACTTGAGTTAAATTTTTATTTTTCTTCTCTTTTATTGGCTAGTTTATACATATATTTTTCACCCTCCTTAGTATCTAATCTATTATAAAGGTTATTAAAAGCTGAATTTTTAGCGTCACGGATTGTTCTTTTAAACTCCCTGCGGGTCGTTTGATATTTTCTTAGTTCTTTAAGCTTTTACATTTAAACTAATTTTTATAACATAACTTATTTTATTTTATATTTTCTTCCATATTATTATTCCACCAGCAACTTTTTTTATTTATAAATTTTTTTTATTTTAATTCTTCAAGCAAATCTTTCGCTACTGTTTAATAGTGTTTGTTACTTTATCTCACATAACATTTGTTTCCTCATGAACATCTCAATTTTTGAAATCTTAAATTTTACTAATAAAAATAATTTTATACGTGTATTTTAGGTCCTCCATCTAATTCTACTCTAATTTTATGATGATGAGTCCTGGTATTCTTTATTTTACAACTCTTTATTTTAAAATCAAAATTAATAAATGATGTTGGGTACTTAAATTCTCACTTGGAATGACCTTAAAATCTTTACAATCTCGGTGATCATTTCTTCTCATAAGAAAATAATCAATTTGTGTTTTATTAGATCCACTCTTATAAGTAATAAGATGCTCATCTCTTTTCTTGAATAAAATATTAGTAATAACAATATCATACGTTAAAGCAAAATCTAAAATAGTTCTACCTTTTTCATTAGTTACTCCAAATAGTTCTCCCTTTTTCATTAGTTACTCCAAAACTGTAGCCACCATGAGTATTTCTGAAGTATTCTACCACTTTACCACTTTACCGACATGTTCATTTAAATCTTCTCCAATAAAAATTCTTTCTTCAAGAGGTATCATTTGTATTAAAATCTTCTAAGTCATTCAAATATTTATCTTTAAACCCTGTATCTAAACCTCCTTGAGGAGCATAAATACTTATAATATTAAAAATCTTAGTATTAATGATAATATTAACGGCTATAATTCTATCTCGAACTCTATTAATTTTTACAACATTATCTTTCAAACTCTTATCTATAATTACACCTACACAATTTCTAGTGCGACTCTTACCGGAATACCAAAGTTTAAAACCTAACTTGTCAATCTCCTTAGTATTTTATGCAATCAATTTAGTTTCTTGAATACATAAAATATTAATTTTTCTACAACATAAAATATTTATATTTCTATGAACCATAATGTCAACTAATTTCATTAATTTACCTGTAAGTGTACCTATATTTATCATAATATTAGTTTCATTAATTTCATGGACTAAATTCTTTACCCACATTCTACCCGCATTCGTTTGTAATGTGAGAACTCTTGCTTATTTGACACTACACTCAGGCGCCAGTGCAGCGGCCCTTGCACACTTTTACTTCATTCAAGATATACAGCGCGTTGCTTCCAAGGGAGGCCCTAGCACTTACACAATGATCAAAAGGATTCATGTCATGATTTTTTTTGACAAGTTTTACACTGACTGTTAACTGTCTAACGCAACTCTCCATTTTTCACATCTGGGCTTCAAACCGGCAATGGCAGTGTTAAAAAACACTTTTAAGTCAAAAAAAAAGAAAATCATAATTGGGGTTAAATTAAAATCTTAATTATGAATTTCATGAATTTTTAAGGGATTACAAATTTTCGATTGTTTATACTAGGCGTCAAGCTCAAGGTGGGCTTGGAGATACTCCTTGTAGAGTTGCTTCATCCATTCAGGTAAAATAATTTTATGCTATCTAAGAAAGATAACTCTTTGTAGGTTTCCATGTGATTATGTTTCACACAATTGCATTTAAGATTTTCTGCATATTGTGGATAATAACATATAGACTATATGAATGCAAAAAAGATTTGTCCCTTATGATAACCATGATTAGTCTATGCTATGAATCTGACGAGCATATTTATTGATTTATTTTTAGCAAGTATTTGTTACTATGATTCATGCATATGATATATGAAATGCCCATTAAAAAAAGTTCATAACAAAAATTATGATTTAAATTCACAAGAGATGTTAGAAGCAGATTATTAGTTGCAAGTATAAACAATAGAGAATGATAGAACTCTCAACTCC